CATACCCCATGATTCTCAACCCCAAACACAGATATTATTCTTTGTGGGTGCTGGATATTTAGTGGGAGTTTTCACCTCATGTCCACAGGTATCTCTGTCTGCTGGGGTCTGAATTGATAATTTTACCCTCTTATTTACTAAGTGTGGGCAGGCTCATGGAAACTGGAGAAAATAAATAGCAAAGGGAAGTGTTTGAAGTTAATAATTTCAACAGCCTGGTTTGATTTCACCTCTGTCTCTTCCTCTGCCTTCAGCGGATGGGCTGGCATACTCGGCTCTGCTAAAGAACGAGCTGCTAGGAGCCGGTATCGAGAAAGTCCAGGACCCGCAGTCAGAAGATCGCCGCCTGCAGCCGTCCACTCCTGCCAAAAGGAGCCTTTTTAGTGTAAAGACAGTTAAAATAGCTCTAACCTTATATACTATACTGGTTTTTGCTGTATTTGTCCTGCATCAGTAATCATCTGTTTGTGTTTTTAGTACTCTGTCAGTGCCAAGAGAGCTCTGCCAGAAGAGGATGGAAATACAGTATCTCCATATTCTCTATCACCTGTCAGTAGCAACAGGTAACAGCATTTAACCTACTGCTCATCAGATGTTAGCTCTTCAATTCAAGAGGAAAAGAGCATAATATCCCTCCCTCACTAATTTGTGTTGTTGCATTGCAGCCAGAAACTGCTACGGTCGCCAAGGAAACCTACGCGCAAAATATCCAAAATTCCTTTCAAAGTTCTGGATGCTCCAGAGCTTCAGGATGACTTCTACCTCAACCTTGTGGACTGGTCCTCTCTGAATGTGCTCAGTGTTGGACTGGGTACCTGTGTCTACCTGTGGAGTGCCTGCACCAGCCAGGTGTGTGTGTGGAAGGGAACTGACCCCACTGAGCAAAGCGGCCTGTTCAGGCCACAAGGCTGTTTAATTTGTGTACAAATGCATCTTTTTTTTTTCCCTTTCCATTTAGGTGACACGTCTATGTGATCTTTCTGTAGAGGGAGATTCAGTAACATCCGTGGGCTGGTCTGAGAGGGTGAGTTTCTCAGTTATCATCGAGGTTACCAAAAAAAGTATGGGTGAAATAAACTAATACTCTGACAAAGAGTGTGTGTGTGTGTGTGTGTGTGTGTGTGTGTGTGTGTGTGTGTGTGTGTGTGTGTGTGTGTGTGTGTG